TACCTTCCACACCTCTCTACATGTCTCTGAGTCTTTGTTCTTTTCTCTTGTTTTTCTTCTTAGCAATGTGGGGAAAGGGTCCTCCTCTCACACCTCTCCTTCACTCTTGGAGGCCCCTTGCGAACCCTCCCTGAAGGCTGCTTGAAACTCTTGTGGAGGCTTAGAGGGGTTTGGAGTGTGTGGAAAGAGGCAGTGCAGGGCCAGGTCCAGAACAGGGCCCATCGTTTGTACAGGGTCTGCCTCGTATAGTCAGAAAGGATGAGCAATGAACAGAAAACACCGGGGGGCTCCGGAGTGAAAGAGATGGAGACAGATGGAGAAGCAAAGAGAAGGAGACAGTAGTCATGAAAAAAGGAAGAAGGGAGACAGTGGAAGAGCGACAGATAGGGAAACAGGGTGAAGGCAAAAGAATAAAGCGATGGTGAAAAGAGGGCCGCTTGGAGAACAAAAAGGGGTGAGAGAAGATCAAGAAGAAAAGAGAATAGGTTCGGGCAGGACACTTGTTTTTGTTATCCACTGTTCCTTTTCCTTTCCCCTTACACTTTTCTCCCGAGCATCGCTCACTCCTTTCTTCCACGGTCTTTGTCCTTCATTTCTCCTCTCTATCTTTCTATCCTCTCTCTAGCTCTCCTTCCTTACTCTTCCCATGTTCGTTCTCCTCCTTTCTCCGCTCTCCCTTTTGAGAGACGGACCATGTGGATAAAAAGTAATTAGATGACATCATGCATCCAATGACTGCACTTCACGCTTCTTGGCACCTCCTTGGTGTCCTTTTCGCTGATGTTCGAAAGGATATGAATTTCGTGCAGTGGAACGAATAGACTAGGGAAGACCAGGGCAAGAAGAGTGGCCTCTTGTTCGCATAAACCCTAAGCCTAAACCCTAAACCCCATGATGAAAATCCCGAGCTCAAGAGGCTAATTAAACCTTAAGCAGACAAACCCTACCCATTCATCTCTAGGTTAACCCGAAAACCGACAACGAACCCTTAAACCCTTAAGTCCTAAGTACTAAATGCTAAACTCAAATCCCTATAAAACATTCGATGCCTCTGCCCAACCCAAACCTGGGCAGGAGAAGTTCAACCACGCCGCCGGGTTCTTTTTTGAAGGGTTGTTTCTTAAGTTTTTATTCTGTTTAAAATATAAAACAAAAGGGGTTGCCAAATAATACACAAAGGTCCATGCCACATATATATATATATATGTATATGGTGCCCCCCTCCCCTCCTCAGAGAACCCACCCTCAAAGAAATAAAGCTTCATAATTTGGCTTCTGAGCCTGGAACAGTGTTAACTAACACTGGCCCAGTGTTAATTAACACGGCCGGAACCAAGAACCAAGAACCAAGACTATGCCGCCCTCATGAGTAGCAGTAGGCAGTGGTTTCTCAGAACTCTTCTTCAATCTTGGTTCTTGGTTCTTGGTTCCGGTCGTGTCAATTAACACGGAACCCGTGCTAATTAGCACGGTGCCCAGACTATGGGAGCCAAAAACCCCCCGAGTTGGATTGCCCCCAAAACCACCGCAAGGAAGAAACTCATCGCCATGAGTTCTTGGGGGTGGGGGGGGCAAGCTTGAGTCATGTCATTCTGTCTGATTCAGGGCAGCTGTCTTGGTTTGTTGTTCGCTATACAGCAAAGTCATAAGTTCTCTTATTATATCGCAGCCTCCGGGGAAACACCCCGCCCCCTTACACTGTGCTTACGGTGGGTTCGGGGGGGGGGGATAGCATATATACATATATATATATATGTGTATATGACAGATCGTGGTGGAAGTCGCCGATTGAGTATGCGGAGGGCCCTCATCGATACCTTCTAGATTCGGATTCATAGAAAAGGTACCGGGGAGCCACGCTCCCAAAGAGCCCAATATTGCTCAATTAAGGAATCTACCTTAAATTATATTAAGGATCCCTAATATGATTTAAGGAATATTCCTTATTTAAGCAATATTGGGCTCTTGGGCTGACTCTTGCGTCGGAGGGGACGTCTTATCGGATGGCATTGCCTCAACCTTGCCGCAGGCTCAAGAGACTGGTGGCAGCATTGACATGCCCATGACAGCACAAGGGCGTAGGATGAGATGGGACCCTGAACCCTAAACCCTAAACCCTAAACCCTAAACCCTAAACCCTAAACCCTAAACGCCTATGCATATGTCAGACGAGCACACGTGCGGGGCTTCGATCCTGCTCCGGTTCTCTAGTAGCTCCCATGGCCTGCGCGCTGTAAACGCGTGCTAGCATCTCTCCGCAGCGAGGCAGGGCCTGTGCTGGTCAGAGGGTTCAGGGTTTAGGGTTTAGGGTTTGGGTTTATGGTTTAGGGTTTTTGGGGCTCTGTTGAGTCAAAGGCCCCGTGCTCGCTTTCGGGACTCAATGTAGTCACCCGAATGGCTACGTGCAAGTTTTTGTTGCAAGTTCTGGGAAGTTTCATGTGCGTGTTAGAGAAGGGGAACCCATTGACACTGCATACCCGTTCTATGGGTACGCATAGTATGTTCATATACTGTATATAGTATAGTAGATAGTGGAGCGTGCAAAATGGGCTAGTTAGGGATAGCTAATTCAGTTTATTTACGGGGCGAACCTAGGGGGGGGTATTATACCCGGCGGGGTAGTAGGGGAATCCGTGAATACTTCTAGACCCAAGAGGAACCCAGGAAGAAGAAGGGTACCCGTTTTGGTTTAAAGCCGCTTATGAGGGAACCTAGACCCTAAAAAATGGGAACAAGGGCCTACCCTGGGTCCTGGGGGTAGCTGTGGGGGCAACCCATGAACCCTAAACCCTGAACCCTGAACCCTGAACCCTGAACCCTAAACCCTAAACCCTAAACCCTAAACCCTAAACCCTAAACCCTGAACCCTGAACCCTGAACCCTAAGCCCGAGCTGCGGCTGGCGCCAGGCCTTGGCCTTGGCTTCGCCAAGGTGCGATGCCCCGCGGACGGGACTTGCCGTTGAACATCGCCGTCTCCATTGACATGGTGCTTTGGCTTCGGGTTTAGGGTTTGGGGATTTGGGGGTTTGGGGTTTGGGGGTTTGGGGTTTGCGGGTTTGGGGTTTGGGGGTTTGGGGGTTTGGGGTTTGGGGTTTGGGGTCTTGGGTTTGGGGTTTGGGGTTTGGGGATCACGAAGATCTCTCCTGAGAGTCAGGTGGCCAACATGACCCTCACGAAGCCCGTGTCGAAGTCCCGTCCCGTCAGCCTGTGTGCCCAGGCACCAATGCTACATGCCGTGATGCTTCCATTGACCATTCCGACGCCACCACTGTCACTGGGCTGAGCCGTAAACCCTAAACCCTAAACCCTAAACCCTAAACCCTAAACCCTAAACCCTAAACCCTAAACCCTAAACCCTAAACCCTAAACCCTAAACCCTAAACCCTAAACCCTAAACTTAAACCCTGGAACTACCGCTCGGTTTAGGATCCAGGGCTTAAAGCCGGTTTTTTGCTCGGGTCTGAGAGTGTTGCTGAGACTTTCCGGCCAGGACATCATAGCCCGGATGCAAAACAGGCCGGTTGCGTGCGGACAAGCCCCCTACACCCTAAACCCTAAGCTCGAAACCCTAAACCCTAAACAGCATCCCCTCTTCAGTTGCCCCGTGGAGCATTGCTAGACGGGTGGCAACAAAACTCTAAACCCTAAACCCTAAACCCTAAACCCTGAACCCTAAACCCTAAACCCTAAACCCTAAACCCTAAACCCTAAACCCTAAGCCCTAAACCCTAAACCCTAAACCCTAAACCCTAAACCTTCAACCCTAAACCCTAAACCCTAACCCCTAAACCCTAAACCCTAACCCCTAACCCCTAAACCCTAAACCCTAAACCCCAAACCCTACACCCTCACCATGCACACGTGTAGGCGCACACCCGATGGGCCCACTGAGGCAGATAAAATTCTTGAAGCTCTTGGGCGAGATGGTGGAGGAGACCGTGTGTGCAGGGTCTGCTTGGAGACTCACCGGTTTAGGGTTTAGGGTTCAGGGTGCTTAAGAACCCCCTAAAAGATCAGATATAATTATCCTTGTATTACCCTTATAAGGAAGTATATGTATATATATATATATATATATATATTGTTTTTAGTTTATTATTTTTTTTTTTTTGGGGGGGGGGGGTCTGAATTGCTAGTAGTTGTGAGTAGGGATATAAGTATGGTATCTATACTTATAACCCTAAGTAGGGTCCTGATATGGGTGGTTATAAGTAAAGTTAGAAGTATGGTAACTATACTACTAACCCTATTTAGCATCCTTATATCCTTATATGGGTAGTTATATGTGGGGCTATAAGTATGGTAACTAGACTTTCAACCCTATTGAGGCCCTGCTTGTAACTGCCCATGAACCTCCACGGTGCCAGGGTGTACTTTGGGGTGTCTGGCATATTTAGTCGATTTTGATGTGTTGTTGCGGTTCTTAATGAAGTGTCTCGACAAAGTTTTGCAGACGAGGGCCACTTGCTTTGCTTCACGGGTGCCAAAACGAGCCTGTCAGAACGACCTCCGAACCTCAAGCAAGCCAAGAACCTGCAAAATCTCTTTGAGTGTAGAAAAATAAGCACAAATACTTGGCGTGCCAGCATCTGGGGAGCGACTGACACGTTTCTGGGCCCTTCTTAGTGTAGGTTTATTATGGGCTTAGGGCCTTAGGGCCCCCACCCCTCAAGACGTGGAGCGTATAATTAGCGTCGGGGTCGATATCAGGTGTGTCCGGTAAAGGGTAGCAACATGTTTGTGAGGCTACTGTATGGCCGGCGAAGGCTACACTGTAAGCCGCCTAGGCTCTCAAGCACGTGCAGCTGGACTTAGTTGCAAGCAAGGGCGCTGACTAAAGGGCTGTTGTTTCCGAGGTAGGTAGCTAGACATCCTGATGTTCCATGATTGTTGGTCCATGACTCCGTTGCTACATGATGTATGCCTATAGTACTGTAGTCCTTTGGCTCAGTTTCTTAATGTTTCACGTGGAGGGCCCGCCTCAAAGTGACAGCAAAAAATGCAAGGCGACGGCCTACAGAGTCCGGTTCCTGGCGAGAGGGCTGTTGTGGTTGGCAACCCCTGCCAGGATCGAACCGAAGCACTGGCCTACATTTCCCAACAGGTTGCAAGCATGGATCTCGCAAACTCAGAGATTTTGAGGGTGACGTTTGTGTTTCAGGCCTTCGAGAACTCTTTTCGGGCTTGGCGCGGTGCACCCGGCGCTGACCTTTATTCAAAAAGTCAGAGAAGCGACTGGATACAAACCTTCTGGAGCCATTCCTGGCATGGACAGTGCTGGAGAAAGGTCTTGACGCTTCTCGCCATGTACAACGGCCCGCCAGCTATAATTTCGGGCACACTCGTTGCTGTTGCGATGATGTTCCTGTTCTCTTTCCAGGTTCTCCCGGAATTCATCCGTGGGGACGAGGGCTTATTTCGCAATAGGCCTTATAGCTCGATCTGGTCTGTGTGGTCTGGCTTTCTGATCACTTCGCTGGTGATGATCTTTTGGAGGTCTCAGACTCGTATCTTCTTCGATCGAATCTGCATCAGTGAAGACAGGCGTTTGAAAAGTCAAGCCATCGTTAGTCTGGCAGGGCTGCTGCGAAGGTCGGACTCGATGCTCATTCTTTGGGACCCAACTTGGACCCGAAGGCAAAGAGTGGGAACGGTTTAGGGTTTAGGATTTAGGGTTTAGGGTTTAGGGTTTAGGGGAAAAGTGGGGGGGGGGGGAACTCGGGTAAACCTTACAAGTGCCCTTTGGACTGGGACAGCAGAGTAGACACACCTAAATTACCTACCTACTACGAACGTTTTAGTCGCGCTGACTCTTTCAATCTGGACACTTGAAGGTTGTGGTGTTTGTTCGAGCTTGCAGCCTTCTTGCGAAGCAGGGAGCAGGGCAAGGAAGCGAAGCGGATCATCACACCCACCCTGCTGGGGCCAGTTTGCTTTGGAGTCTTCTTGTGCACCAGCGCTGGCACGATTACCCTCGCAATGGTGCCTCTACAAAGAGAGCTCATGATTCTCAACCCTGGTCCTATCTCCCTGGTTGCAGCAATGGTCGTTGGCTTCACACTAGTGAGCCATTTGCGCAAGTATTTTCGAGAGTTAGACACTATGAGGCAGCAATTGCTGCTGATCTCATTCGATACTGCTGAGTGTGCCTGCTGTGCCAGGAACCACGTCACACTGTCTGGCGAACCTGTGCTATGCGACCGCATAATTTTGAAGGAATGTGTGATGACGTGGTTCGGTGACCTCGAATCCTTTGAGAACACCATACGGGCAGAGGTTCTGGCGGTTTTGACACGTGACCTCGAGCGAGTTTTGACCACAAAGTCTACCATTGCAGTATTTGCCCCCATCATGTGGCTTTCCATGGATGGGGCTGCCGTCCAGTGGTCGGTTGCAGGACAGCTCGAATCCCCGGATGCATTGGCCTTCCTGCTCCAGGGTTTATGCATCTGGCTCGTGGGCATGCCTACGTTGAAGGACTGGCTCCTTGACGTTTGCAAGGTTGCGCGGGCGAGGCCGAGCAACCAGTACCTCGAGGTCATGAAAAACTTGCTAGCAGTACTTTCAGCCAGCATTCCGATCGTGTGCACGATGGGGTGCTTTGTCACCCTTCAATCCCTTGATCTGCTTTCTCCACTGGAACGTGCTGCAGCTTTTTGCGGCGGTATGTTGGTCTACAAAATCTTGTCATGGCGCCTCGGTGTTGTCCTCAAAGCCTTCATTGGCCATCAGACATGAAGAAATGAGGCACAGCTGTTCTTTTGTTTTTGTGGAGGCAACCCCTGAAATCGAAAGCCTACAAGCCCTCATTGCCCCAAACTCCTGGTTAAGGTCTAAGACCTATACAGTAAACTCCAGAAAGTTGGAACATGGTTTAAGGATGATTAGAGCTGGGATTCCCTTTAGTTTGGGGATAAGGATGTTCCAACTTTTTGGATTTTGTAAAGCCCTGATGAGTCAAGCCTGCCTCCACCCTCCATCGTCTCACCCTGCGCTGGGATGTTCGGTCGTGTTGCCTTACCCCACGCAGTAAAGGCCCCCAACCCTCAAGCCTGAACCCTGAGCTCTCAGCCTAAACCGAAAGCCCTCAACCCTGAGCCCTCAACCCTAAACCCGCAACCCTGAACCCTCAACTATCTGGGGCTTCGGGCCGAAAGGCTCTGGGGGCTTCTTGGTGTTCGACTCTGTTTCTTAACTACTATTTGTGCTTCCTTGTGCGGGCAAATGGAGGCACTCATTCTGTGACCTGGTGCAGCGAGGTGTAAAAGCAAAGGGCGTCACATTTACTGGGACGATGGTTTGCGCTGTTGATGATGGTGTGCGCGTGTGCTCTTGCAACTGCGGCTACCCCCTTTGCTTGTAACTGCATCGAGGTCGTTCTATCTGGCAGAATGACAACGGATATTGCCCTCATAAGGAAGAGAAGGAAGAGAGTGTTTTTTTGGGGGTTCTTAAGGGGCACAGTTTTGGGGTTTCAATCTCCGGCTGCAGGAGGCACACCATGCAGCCATCTGCGTCCCCGAACAGCGTCTCCAGTTCAAGAGGGTCCGCGGCTGAGCCGGGCCTCTTCTTAGTGAGAAGGGTTTGGGGGATATGTCGGGCGGCTCTTTCGGGGTTTAGGGCTGCAGGGCTACGATCCCGTTTGGCGTGGGATTCTGTCGGCTTCGGCCTAGACCGGAGTTTTGGGTCTACAGCTCGGTTTCAGCGCGGACAAAGACCCAGAGGGAGAAGCCATGGGCCTGAGGTAAAGGATTCAGGAGACGCAAAGAGGGCTTTGACTTGCGGTGCAAGCGCGGCTCCCGAAAACCTTTAGGGCTGATTAGGGTTAAGGGTTAAAAGTCTACTTTGGCACCCTGAACGCTGCTTGGCCCTGCAGAAGAAAGCCGAGCAGAGCCGAGCCGCGCCCCGAGCGAATCTGAGGCCCTCGAGTGCGCACGCACCCTCGCGGCCAACTCGACGTTCCAGTCCATGGTTGAGCTGGGCGCCCGAGAAGCCCTTTCTTCCCAAAGAGCCCAATATGGCTTAACTAAGGAGTAGTGCTTAGATCATATTAGGGATCCTCAATCTGATTTAAGGTATATTCCTTAAGTAGGCAATATTGGGCTCTTTGGGTTGAGAGGATGCCAGAGGTTGGAAACCGGCTTTGGCTTTGGTGTCCACGGACCCATGCAGCATATAAGCTCCACACCCCCCATGTCAATGCCATACCACGCCACATCATGCCACGTCATGCCACATCAGACCATCTCAGACCATCTCAGATCACTTCGTATCAAATTGCATCCCTTTTCCCCGAAACCCAAAACCCAAAACCCTAAGCCCTCCAGACCTCGAGCCCTTTAATTTCGAGACACAGCGCTGCCGGCAGCGACCTCCAATCCGAAAGCGTGGTAAGGCCATCACCCCAACAGGCAGCTAGAGAAGGCATCACGCCTGCAAACTCGCAGAAGCTTTCTAGCAGCACACCGAGATTCTTGGTTCTCAAGGTAACCCTAAACCCTAAACCTTAAACCCTAAACCTTAAACCCTAAACCCTAAGCCCTAAACCCTAAACCCTAAACCCTAGTACCTTTGGCTGAGACGTAATGCCGGTAGATCCCCGCAAGTCCTGTCACGGGGTATGAGCCCGTAGCTCGTATCTGCTGTGCAGTGCTTTCAATCACCAAGCGGGACTGGTGACCGACGGTTCTGAAAATTTCACACTCCCTGCGCGGGCCACGCCAGGGGTCTCAGCAGCCAGCCTGCGCAATCCCTACCCCCTGTAACGCTAGCTTCCCTCGAGCACGCCATGACAGGCAGGTGGGCAATGGGGGTGGGGTCGAAGGGTCTCTTTGGTTGGTTGGGCTTAGTGTGTTTCTGACCTTTCCCCGTAAACGCTTGCGAAACGTGTGGGAAAACCCTAAATAAACCCTAAACCCTAAACCCTAAACCCCAAACCCGAAACCCGAAACCCTAAACCCGGGCGAATTTCAGGGGCCCTCCGCCAAACATTTTGGTTCCGAAGCTGCCCCGATGCCGAGGCGACATGGGGATGCCTCCAAGAGTCCGCGCATTCCGCTGGAGCCCACGGAAGCACAAGAAGCGCAGCCGCGAAGTCCGCAATTGTGGTTTCGTGGTTCCTTTTGGTCTAGGGATTAGGGTTTAGGGTTTAGGGTTTTAGGAAAAATGGTTTAGGGTTTATGGCCTGAGGCCCCCCAAGATGTTTCATTCTCTTGTGCGCACCCTGAAGAACGCAATGTTGAGTTGCTTTCAGGCCCGATCAGCAATGAACCTTCATCAAGCATTCCGGCAGCTGGCCAACGCCTCGTATTAGAAAGCTAAGAAGACTTCCACTACACTTGAACGGTTCGGGTTTCGGATTTCGGCTTTCTGCTTTCGGGTCTCCCGTGTGATTCCCGACTGCACCTGAGGCAAGCGCGCGCAGAGCCACCCCGCCAACAGCGGGAACGCTCACCACGAGCGGCCGCAGCCTCGAACATTGCGGAGGGTCGCAGGATGTTATGCGCCGTAGGGTCCCGCGAAGGGTTTAGGGTTAGGGAAACTTGCAGTGGGGGTCGTATCCTTTCCTGGCAGTTGTCCGCAGTCCAGTTGCAAAAGGGAAACTTCCAGGCTGAGTTCCTGAGCGCCCATGACAATAACTGTGTCCCTGGAGAGCGGATCTGAAGCGTGTCCGAAGACGCAAGCCGGACCACAAGCACGGTGCTGGATGTCTTCCTCCTATCGCCCCAACACCGAAACCTCAACCCTACTGCCTCTCAACCCAGCCCTAAACCCTAAACCCTAAACCCTAAACCCTCCCCTCTCACCCCCCTCCCCCCTCCCCTGGGCAGGCTATTGGACCGCTGAGCAGCGGAAGCATGGAGCCCATAGAGGAGGACGCCATGCCGGGCTCAGGGAAATCGCGTGTTTGGGAAGTGGTGCTTTGACTCGGTAGGTTTCTTGGGGGACATTTCATCTCTTTCCCTTCTTGGGTTAAAGAGGATCATATTCAGGAATTGAGCTTCTGCCTGTCCTTAGGGACGTAGGGCTGAGCCCTGACTAGTGTACGGGCTTGGGCAAGAACGGAGGCCCCCATCCCTTGCCAACGGAAACAGGAGGCGCCAAGGAGGCGATCTTCAAAGGACAGGAAGAGCCGCAAGAGCCGCTAGTGCCAAATTGGAAGTTTGCGAGAATGAGGGACCCCTAGGCCACCCGAATAGTAGGATTCCCTTATAAAGAAGGACCCCCCCCCCCCCCCAAAAGGGTAGCCCGAATTTCGGACGCCCCCCCAAGTGGGTTTAGGTCCGTCAGCTTCTGGTTAAGCTTTGTCAGGTGAAGGAGCGGCTCTTGTGCTTTGGCACACCCCAAGCCCCAAGCTCCACACCTGAACGACTCCGAATGCCCGTGAGAATAGGACATGATCGATGTTATGTCTAAGTATCATTACACAACTATGAATTATTTTTATTCATTCTAAGTATTAAGCAACTATGCACCATTTTACTTCGAACATCCCCACCCTGCAGACTCCGGGGTTGGGCACTCCGGGGACTGGGGTTGGTTGGGCACTCCAGGGACACTCTGGGTGTACGCTGAGATTGGGCACTCCAGGGACTACTCTGGCGGGACGGGTGGGTGGTGGGCGAGTAGACCGGGCGACGAGAAGAGTTGAGTTTAAAACCTAACAACCCCACACCCAGGCTGGGGAATAATTAAGTAAACACTAAACCTTAAACCCTAAACCCTAAACCCTAAACCCTAAACCCTAAACCCTAAACCCTAAACCCTAAACCCTAAACCCTAAACCCTAAACCCTAAACCCAATCTCTTTCTCTCTCCCTCTCTCTCTCTCTCTACCTGCATTTTTGTTTCGCGCTGGCAGCTGTAAGGTCGAGCCTGCCACGGTGAGGACCACCAGCCCAGCTTCAGCGATCCGTGCTGCAAGAGTGTTTCCGAGAGGGGGGTTGCTGATTCTTGCTACTTGTAGGAAATGGGGGAATGAGTTATTGGGATGATCCCCCTTAGACTACAGTTCTTCATAAGGATTATCCTAGAGGGTACGAAAATCCCTATTCCGGACGGCTCGTATATGGGGAAACATCGGGGAATCACAGTATTAGGGGGAACATTAGGGAATCACCTCATTCGATTTTTTATGGGCTCCTCTTCAAAAAGGGGCTGATTGCAGAATTGATGAGAGTCTGAACCTGGGAGCCCTAATTCCGGTTTTAAGAACTGGCAGCATGCTTCAGACAAATTCAAGACCCGGTGAGAATCATGCCTGCGGAGACAGAGGTCATGGATTGTAGGGTACATGCGGGAGTTCGCAGGCTCACGCGCTTGAAGCCTTCATCCCCCCCGCATTTCTGTCATCTCGACCGTGATGCGTGTAGCTCTTGGGGCAGTTCAAGAGGGTGCTCTCAATCCTTATGGCAGTAGCTGGCTCACGGTTTTTCGGCTGTCTGACACTGCGCCGAGGCAGATCTGAGGACCCTGATGCAGACACCGGGCTCAGGGTCGCTGTGTCGTGGGGAGGGAGACCCGAAACACTCAGCTCGAAATCCTTACCTTGAGTGCACGGCATATGGGGGCATCTTGAACTTGCCCAGCCCAAGAGTAGCCGTACATATTCAAGGCTCACATTCTCTGACTTTGCACACCTCATGCTGCCGAAAGACACCTGGAGGTGGCCCTATGTGGCATTTCATCCCAAAGTGCCCAAGCTTTAGAGCCTGGCCCTCGATTTCACCCCCAGCAAGTCTCCCAACTCCGAAACGAAGGTCCGCTGAGGAGGTTTTCGGGGGCTGGGGGGTTTACGGGGTTTGGGGGCTTAGGAGGTTTAGGGGGAAAGAAAGTCCAAAAAATAATAGAGCATGGCTTCGAGTGCCCGAGGGTCCACACAATCGGGCCTACGGCTATGCGAAACTGCACCCGGAATTGCTCGAAGCTTCGTGCAGGAGGTGGTTCCACCGCCGCTCGAACCCGATGAAGGTGTGGGCCTTGACAGGGTTCGGGGTTGTGGGGGACGAGGTTTGAGCGTCTGGCAGCCAAACGCCCGCAAACAAGGTGCCCGAAAGGGTCGAGGCCCCCCGCCCCCCACCCGTTCCCCTTACAACAGCAGATGGGGGAGGCTCAAGGGTTAAATCCCTCCAGCCTCGGGGGCCTTCTTGGCGGGAAAACTCCGGGCTGCGTGTTGGGGGTGCGCAACAGCTTCCGTGGGTGCAAGAAGCCCAGCGGCTAGAACATGCCCTATGGCGGGCTCCTGGCACTGAATGTGGGGTTGATCTATAACTGCCCTCACATGTCAGAACACATTTCGTCTTCCAGAACAACTACTATTAGCTTAAGAACCCCAAAAGAAAAACATCATCATCCCTTTATTGCCCTTAAGGAAGATTTGTGTTTTTATTCATATTTTTTTGGGGCTTATTAAGCAGGTCATAGACAAAGCACCGACTTGACACGCCTTGCGCTGTTCAAACCAGCACAGGCATCGTCGAGCCAAGCGTCCAGGCTCGGCAAGCGAGTGTGATAGCCCTGAACCCTAAACCCTAAACCCTAAACCCTGAACCCTAAACCCTAAACTCGACACCCGAAACGCAAAACCCGAAACCGATAGAAGCCCGCCCCCTAAAGCGCAGCCTATAAGCCCTAAATGAGGATTTCCTCACCCACCCTGAATTACTAAAACAACGCTCGCCTGACCCCATGAGCCCCGCAATCCCGACAAGCCCTACCCTAAATCCCAAAACCACACACCGCCTGAAGCTTGTTCCTTGCAGTGCGATTGATGCGCGGACTTCAAATCTTCACACCGCCCCAGAATCGCCTCTGCAGAAGTTTCTGTTTAGCAGCAAGGTCTTTCTACAAAGGGGCTGGCTTGGCTACAAAGGGGCTGGCTTGCTACTAAGCCTTAAACCCCAAACCCTAAACCCTAAACGCCAAACCTCAAACCCTAAACCCTAAACTAGTCCAGGCGAAAGATGACGCGCCAGCCCCTTTGCCATGTGCCTGAATAGAGCCTAAACAGAGCCAGGCACCCTCGCCAGAGATGGAGGTGGATGTCCTGGAGGTCAGCACATTTAGGGTTTAGGGTTTAGGGTTTAGGGTTTAGGGTCCTGGAGGTCAGCACAAGCACCGGAGGTTTCGACACTCTTTCGGTCTCGTGGCTTCAAGTCTCTTTCGCTCTCTCGCTCTCTCTCTCTCTCTCTCACAGTCGCTCTCTCTCTCTCTGTCTTTCACGCGGCCAGTCGGTCTCTCTCTCTCCCTTTCTCTTCCCCTCTGTCTCTCTCTTTCTCTCTCTCGGGTTTTAGGTTTTAGGGTGTGGAGTTCCATTCCTAGGAGGCTTGGGTAAGCGGTCTGGGTTAGGACACAAAGGGCGTCAGTTCACATCCGCTCGAGTCCCAAACTCCGATGCAGCTACGTTGACGCCCACACCTGTGGCTTTGGCAGCCAAGCTGCTTCCTGGGTGTAGGGTTTAGGGTTTAGGGTTTAGGGTTTTGGTCCCCACATCTTGGGTTGGGACCTCGAAAAGGATTGCGTGCAGGGGCTTGGGCTCGAGCAGTTTTGACACCCGGCAGCCCCACAACTAAACCCTTTGCAAGAGGCACCCTGAACCCTAAACCCTAAACAGAATCCTCGCCTGCTTCAGTGAGTGCGAGAGTCGAAACCCTAGACCCGAAACTCCGGCAGCCATTTTGGCTCAAGCCGTTGACGCACAAGTCCTTTAGCGGGCCTCGCAAGTACATCCGCGTTTCCGAGTCGGTGTACGACACCTGCTATCTTTACCTTTGTTCGTTGGCCCCTTCGTCGCAGACCCACAGCAATTGGCGCAATTTCATGCGCAAGGCTGCGGGCGGCATCAGACTGGTCACGAAGAAATTGGTCGCGCCATGGATGCTGAAACCGGAGCATGCTGAGCTGCTATCGCTAGCCGTGCACGTGAGCGTTATGCAGGACGCGTGGGCGAACTCCGAAATTATCGGAGCTTTGACGAGGTCCCGGCCGAAAGGACTCGCCTCGCTCAACGAGAGCGCCTCTGTGCAGGTTGACCGCGTGGTGTCGTGGGCAAGCTTGTCTGTTGTTTGGAGTCTCGTCGAGCACTTGACCACGGAAGGCATCCTGTGCGACTGTGCGACCTCGTCGTCTTGCCAAACTACGCGCGGCGCCAGGTCGAGTCATACCACCCTGGTGGGGTTGGTGGTGCGGCTGCGTGCGAGATCGCCCACCAATCCGACGCCGCCAACGTCGTCGCACGCAAGAGCAGAGAGTTGCTGGCCCGTGCTGCGGCGTGAGCGTGCAAAGTGGGTGCAGATTTCGGTGCTGTCGTGACTCACGACACCGAGGCTGGCGTTAGTGTGCAGGTCTCGACCGCCAACGGGCCGGTCGTCCAGGAGTTCAAGCCTCAGCAAAGGTTGGAGTGTCGCCATATGAACCGACCAACGCTCTACGAGGTCGACCAGCTGCACGTCTGCAGATCGAGCTTTGGAACGCAGGCCCCGGGACCAGCAAAAGCTACATGATCAAAAAGATGTTTCGCAAGCACAAAGACATCATTGTGAAACCGTTCCGTGCCCCTAATTCGATGTACCCACCACCAGCTTACGACTATGTCGCCGCCCATCGTGTGCTATTCTCCGTCGTCGGGTTGTTCGACACCCTTGAGTTCACGATGTTCGATTTCCGCGCAGGAGTTGCACTCGCCGTCAACGAGGGGTCCGCAAGATCGTGCTTGCGGGGGACCCGAAACAGAACCTGCTGCGACCGGAGCACGGTTGGTACGCTGACGGTCACATCAGCGTTGCCGAGACCGGCGAAAACGTGCTCATCGTTAACTTGCCCGGGGCTTTCTTCAAGATTTGCTTCCGGTGTCCCGGTGGGGACGTGATGCGGCTCTACGCGCTCGGTTAGAACATGATCCCGTATCACCGTACGCCGAGCGGCGCGCGGGTTTTTGGCGAGTGTGAAGGCTTCGCTTGGGACGGGTGTCAAGCCGGGAGGGAACGACACGCTCTTGCTTGCCTTCACTCATGATGACGCCGCGAACTCCAACCGGTCCAAGACCGTTGCCTCAATCCAAAGTGTCACAGCGGAGCATGTCATTGTGTTCTTTACGGCCAAGGCCTATCAGCTCACGAAAGCGGCGCCCAGCCAGCACAACATGGCCTTGTCGCGACGCACGAAAACACTCACCATCGTCGATGATGGGAGCGCAGAGTTTCAGATGTGGGTGAAGTCGCTGCGGCCGACTGAGAATTTCGCCTTGGTAACGGACACGCGTATCGAGGCGCCGAGGGGGCCCGCGGCTAGCGTTGTCCCTGATCCAGACTTCTTGCGCCTCACTGAACCGCCCGTTCAAAAGGTCGTCCAACCTGGTAGCGATTCGCGCCTGACGACTTGCCTTGTGAAGGACGGCGACGTTGAAGACGCGCGCTTCAGGTCCGCAGGACTTAGCGCCCTTAAATTTGGCATCGTTGGCAATTTCGACCCTAGGCGCAGCTCAATGTCGGCAACTTTCTCGACCCATTCAACCAGCGCGGCCATCCTGCCGACTTTTCCCGGGAGTTCTACACTGCAGAAAACCGTGTGCGCAAGCGCGCGCTTTCTGTGAGACGCTTGTGAACGCGCTGCGCTCGCTCGGAACCTGGTGCGCCACCCTTAGCCGCATGACCGGTGCAGATGTGGCGTGCTTATTGACCCGGCAACTAAGCTCGACGCGCCAGCGACGCCCGACCCCGAGAAACTCGCGGTTGACATGATTGACATGGGTCGAGCAGTTCACCAGGCGTCACTTTAAGCCCGAGCACTACGCTCTGCGCCTCGAAGGCGCCGGCCTGTTGATCCAGCTTAGGCCAGGTACGCATGGCTAGAGCGTGCCATCTTGTAGAGATTCCCCCTGTGTCGTTCCTGCTTTGCGACAAGTGCAGCCAGCTGGCAGGCCGCGACCGCCGTCTGTCACCAGGCCAGAGATGTTGGTTGAGAGGAGACTTCCCTCCCTGCCCTTTGCAGACTTTGCCCCTTCTAGTCCTTTTGTTTGGATTTACAGGCGCTGGCATGTGGATCCACAGACAATCTGTCTTGCATGGTCGTGCTCTTGGGCGGCCGTGACGGGATGCGGATCAAGAAAAAATTCATTTAGGATCAAGAAAAACTTTATTTAGGATTAACAAATAATTTATCTAGGATCGAGAAATAATTTATTCTGTTTTTCTGACGGAGAGAGGGATTGGGAGAGAGGAGGGAGGGAGGGAGAGAAGGAAGGAGGGAAGGAGGGGAGGAAGGAAGGGGGAAGGACGGCAGGAATGAAGGAATGAAGGAAGGAAGGAAGGAAGGAAGCAAGCAAGCAAGGAAGCAAGCAAGGAAGCAAGGAAGCAAAGAAGGAAGGAAAGACAAAGAAAGAAATAACACAGGAAAGAAAGCAAGGAAGAAGTCGTGCCAAAACCCATTATGCGAGCATTGTGTTTGCAAATGGGAGGGGGTGGGGGGGCTGCACCCCCCCCCCGCCCCCCAACCCCCCCGCTATATTTTGAGTCGTGCCAGGTGCTTCAGCATACTTTCGAAACCCACGATGCGAGCATTGTGTTTGCGCATGGGGGGGGGGGGGGGGCGCGCCCCCCCCAACCCCCCGCTCTTTTTCTTAAATCGTTCTGGCTTGCTTCAGAGTACACGCATTTTTTGGAAGCTTCTAATGCCAAGATGCCAGCATTGATTTGCAGCCTCTGGAAACTCAGAAATGCTGTTATTTACAGTATTTCCAGCCTCTGAAAGCGCAGAAAATGCTGCTATTTAGAGTATTTGCAGCTGTTGGACATTCAGAAATGCCGCAGGGTACAGTATTTCCAGCCTCTGAAAGCGCAGAACTGCTGCTATATACAGTATCTGCAGCCTCTCTGGAAACTCAGAAATGCTGCTATTTTCAGTAGTTCCCGCACAAATGCTGTTTTGTTTCGGTATTTAGAGATTGCAAACGGCCAGAAATGCTGCATTTCTGAGCATTTACAGCCTCCGCTCCGCTTGCGATAGGCCTTCGAAGCCTTGAGTAAGTTATTTTTTTGATCCCAAATAAGGTTTTTTTTGATCCGCCTATACATAAATAATTTTTGACCCCAAATAATTTTTTTGATCCCCTACCCGCGGTGACGTCCCAGCCGTACCTATGGTGGAGTGTCCAGTGTGAGGCCTTCACAGGCAGACGCAAGGTGCGAATCTTTAACCAAACCTGTGCTTCCGACTAGGTGCCAGGTCAGACGCTGCAGGCCAGCGTTTGTGCGTGTGCGGTGTAAAATTTCTTCACGCACAAAGCTCTCTTCACTTCTCTGGTCTGCCAGCATGATGGTCTCCGTGATGACCGCAACTCGCGTGATGAGTCAGTAATTGCCGCCTGCGTGTGGTTTTTGACCTCGAGAAGCCTACGTCAGATGAGTTTGACGCGAACCAGAACCTGTGGACGCAGTGCGTTGAACGCATCTTCTGGGAGAGACTTGGCATCCCCAGCAAGTATCTCGACCTCTATTTCTCCAACAAAGTGCGCAGGAAGCTTGTGAGCCGATTCTTTAAGGCAATCGTTAAGTACGCCAAAACCTCGGGCGAGCCTCTGACGCTTGCTGGCAACACCTCGCTCGCTGCCGTGATGTCGGACTATGCGTTCGACTACGCCGTCGCAGCTCTGGTCATCAAAAGGCGACGATGTTTACGCACGCCTACTCAACGCGCGCAGTCACTTTGCGAAGTTGGAGGCCATGATGTACCGCTCCTCCATCTGCCTTCGACAGAACTGGGAGCGCGCCAGCTTCTGCGGTGTCTGCGTCAGCGGTGGTCTTTTCGCGCCTGACGTCTTTGGGCTGCTCGTGACAATCGAGAACCATGCCTTCAAAGACTATGAGCACTTCTGTGAGTATCACGTCTCGTGGGGAGGGCGTGCGAGTTAGTCCGAACACATTAAGGTGGGCGGAGTCAAGGATGGTCACTTAGCAACTGACCAAAGGCGTGCCCAGATGTACTCCCCGTGATGACCTCTGTTCGTCTCGAATTCAGAATTCAAACACTTGTGGCCCCCTAATTACTGTGTAACCTGGACGGGCCAGTGATGTTTGAAGTGGCAGGTATAGGTATGTGAAGCGAATCCCTAGCCCAAACCGCCGGCAGCGCAGTTCGAGTGCGTGACAGTTCAGGTCACCCAGACGATGAATACTTTCTTTGGGCGCTGTGGGTAGCGATGGAATCTTTTCTTCTAAGTATAGGCGGTCCCGGCAAACCGCGGCTGACCCGATTTACACTGACGAAGCCAATGTCCAACTTTCAGTCAGCAGGCTCGAGTCGCTAAATCCTAGGGACGGCGACCGTGTACATAGCAGTCGAGAACCTTGCATCAGCCAGGGGCCAAAGCCGCCCTAGGGCAAACGCTTAGCTCCGAACGGAATGTTCAAGCTAGTGAGGTGCCACAGGCGGGCGTAACTGGAGGTGAACTCGGCAGAATGGCTGGAGCTAAGACGAGGGGTGGATTTACAAACGACCGTCACGGTGGAAGCCACGGTGGCTTCCACGGCGGGGAGGGCTTTTGCACCAGTATTGGTAATGACTAGTTGGACTTAGCCCCATAGATGTCCTAGTCTGACTGCCTGAAGGCGATCCCATCAAGGCGTAACGCCAAGGGAAGTTCTCCAGTTCTCGTCAGTCGGACCGTAGGGCCCCGCGGTGCTCTGGCTAGTCGGATGGCAAAAAAACAACCCCAAACCTGAACCCTTGCCACACCGAATGCGATGGTTAGGATTCGAAACCCTAAGCCCTTATTAACCTTACCCAAACCCCAAACCCGGGCAGCAGGAAGTGGAACCGGGCATGCCGATCGACGAGTTTTTCATGTCCTCTGAACTCTGCAACAAGGACGCCGCAAAGCCGTTAAAGAGTCAGACCCAATACCGGGGCCTTAATAACTAGAATAGAGTTTCGGGCTTATTATAGCACAATTACATAGGGACCATAAGGAATAATATTAGTACTTCTTCCGACCCCCTATATTGAAACACGAAACCCAAGCCCTAAGTGCTGTGCGGTGAGGGTTCCAGGTCCCATGTGGGCCCCATCCAGGACAGCGAAGAAACAGACTTCTCCGAGGCGTGTGTCCGGGTTTCGGGTTTCGGGTATAGGGTTTCAGGCCCTAATTAGGCCCTAAAACCCAAAGAGTGCGCCCTAAAACCCAAAGAGTGCGTCTTGCACTTGCGTCCGTGCGCCGGCCCCAGTTCTCAGTTCAGCCTTGTTGCTGAAGAAAGCCACAGACAAGCAGTCTTTGACACTGACTGTTGGGCTGCGGAAACATGCCGAGTGGAGTAAAGGTCTTGCAGCATTTCACGAAAACACGAGTTTTGTGCTCTGCAAGGCCGATTTCGTCGGTTGGGAAGCTTCGACAAAGTCCAAGGCCATGCCTGGATGGAAGCTTGCTGAAAGCCGACCCGTTAGTTGGGCAGGGAAGTTGCGTGGCCGTTGTCGTGATGAACCACATGTCGTTTAGGCATGGTGGATCCACGAGTAGATGGCCGCTTGCATGGGAAGTTTAGTTTCAAGCTTTTTCTGCTTGCTGAGATGATAGGTTTTGGCCGTGTGCCCTTCGCCCGAAACCCTAAGCCCAAGGGCTCGAGCGCTCTCTGATCCGCATGGGATGGGGATTGATGGTTAAGTTGGCCTTGTTGATTCCACAACGGACTCATGGAGCGAAATTGGATCATCTTCAACTTTGTCATTCCCCGCTTGAGTCGGAGTTGGTTCGCAGCTTCTCCTTGTGGGTTTTGGATCTGTTGGATTTATGCAATCGGTGGTATTGGTTGCTTTGGGATGAACTTGAAAGGGGCCAAGCCAGTACAGCTGTCCTAGACTAAGCTAGTGCAAGTTTGCAGTGTGGTGAATGGCTGCTTGCACTCTTTACAGCCGCGTAGGTGCAGTTGTCGTTATGTCGTGTATAAAGCTCGTTGGGAGGACGGAATGGTTCGGATAGTCTGCACACTGTTATGTCCTAGTCTATGCGCCTTTCTGGAACCATGGAGCAAAAACATGATCGAATCTCCGACTTCAAAGCCCGCTGCAGGTGATGGACTTTGCTACTTTGTCTGTGCTTGATGTGGGGGTTTACGAAAATAAAGGACCCCGTTTTTTAGTCCCCAAATAGCAGGATTCCCCTTATAATGACGGACCAGCACGTGTTTTACTCCCGGCAGTGCGCCTTTGTGTCGGCTAGGCGGGTGAAGGCCTAAACCCCAAACCCTAAAACCCTAAACCCAGAACCCTGAACCCTGAAACCCTAAACCCCAAACCCTAAAGCACTCCCGTGCCCGTGCCAGGCTGCTTCAGGGTCACAGTCCCTGGAAGTCGGGCGTGTCGGGAGCAAGGGCCGTGGGTGCCTTGACTTCAATTCCAGGGGCTCCTGCGGGGGAGTTTCCGCAGCATCACCCAGTCCTAGCCCCACACCTGGGGCTTAGTTAGCGTTGAGGGTTTAGGGGGTTTAGGGTTTAGGGTTTGGGGTTTAGGGTTTAGGGTTTAGGGTTGAGGGTTGAGGGTTGAGGGTCCCAAGAAGCTGAACTGGAAGCACCTCTAAGCTTCGAGGTTCCCATCAAGCA